CAGTACGTTCTCTTAACTATGGAGCCTAATGTATTTAAGCTGTCGCAGGACAACACTGCTTTATTCTCTGCAGACAACTTTATTCTTTGTCTTGTTCTTTTTATTGTTCCACTGGTAGTGAATAAAAGGCTGCATCTGTTCCTCAGGAAGGACTTAATCCAAAGCTTATTGAATGCATTGGAAGAGTCTCCATTGGGCTTTGGATCAAGCTCTTTAGTTCACAAACAAATGCTTTTTGTGAGAATATGCTATTCAAGTATTGTATAGAAGAATTACAGAGGTACCCTATTTCTAAAATAGTGACTGCTCTTTAAATCTTTTTTGCTATGCCCGCTCTATCACAGGAACAATATGCAACTGTACATAATTGTTGCAGTACTGTAGTCCATGTTTATGATGCCTCACCAGTTGATATAAGTGTAGAATATGTAATGCTGTGGTAACTAGTACTGCTATATTGATATGGCTCTTCCTATGGAGACAGTAATCCAAAAAATATATAGAGATTCACTTACTGGCCTGAGGATGGTCTGGATCAATCAGGCAAGCTGGACATGGCAAAACATCTTTGAAGACTGTCTTGTATAGGTATCATTGATGAAGCTGAGGGGTTGAGTTGAAAGAGGGGTTTGTAGAATAAAAGAGGGACACTGCTGAATGGAATTTTTTTCCTACCCTTAGGAAAAGGAGCTGACTGAAAAGAGTCACAAAGGGGGAGTCACAATAGGGGAAAGAAACAGGCGCTATTGTGGACAAGGCTACAATGAGACAAAGATTAGGCACAAGGAATCAAAGCAGAAATGCTAGCTGAAGCAAGACTGTAAAGAACTTTAAGTGAAACTTTACAGCTCCAGATTTGCAATGACTGCATTTTCTGCAGAGAGAGAAGATCCATGAGTTGGTTACACGGTAGCATTCCTGCAAGCTGCAATAAAATAGATTTTTTTCCTTACAATACTATAGGTACTGAATGCTTATTTGGATTTCTTGTGAAGGGAAACTAACAATTCCTGTGCATCGAAGAGAACATGATGCCAGTGAAACTTGGCTGGTTTTTCAACTTCAGAACAGAGTAACTTTTTCCCGTGAGTGTAGATGACAGAAACAGTTACTGCTGGTATTACTCCTCTGACAGAGCTGCTTGCAGTAAAAAACACTATATTGTGTGGTAAGTGCTTGCAGGGTTGCACACGTAGTTTGTACGCTGATAGTGACTCAGTTTATGGAGCCAATACTAAAACATTACTCACTCAAGGAGTCACATTTAATCCAATGAGATTACTCATGTAGTGAGCGGCTGATAGAGATCTTGCCAAGTTATTCCACCACATAATAGATGTGTGTAAAGGAGCCTGTTAGTCAGGTGAATAACTTCAGAAAGGAATTTTTAAGTTCATTCTATGTATGAACTTTTTCTATTTGAACTCCCTAAACACAGCTGAGGTCCTATTACATTTTGCCAGCTCCCACTAACCGGCAGTCCCTATCCTAAAACTCATCTACTCATACAGACCAATAAGGGAAAAATTACTTGCCTTCAGTCACATCACAAGTCAACAGCAAAGACAGGAATAGTACAGGGATCTCCAGTCAGTTGTCTACTAGCAGCTCCCTGCCTCTGTAATTCACATTTAATCCCTGCACTGAATATAAAGCATTTTTGAATGTGACCCCTAAATTTCCTACAGCTCTTCTGCTAACTGACTGGTGGAGCTCTGCATTCATTAGCTTTATAAATGCAGAGAGAATACACTGAAGTACCATTTTCATCTCACACACATCATTACAAGCTGGAGCATTCCCTCATCCAGCTCATCTCCATGTTTTTCTGCAGTCAGATAAATAATGAGAACCACAAGAAAAGGAAAATTAATCTAATCACAAAATTTCTGACAGCCAGTCTAAGACACTTAAAAATCTGCATCCCAAGCAAAACTAATTTTTCATTTTCAGTAGAATTCCGAGTGGAGGCTATCACCTTTCAGGACTGCATTTCATTTAATAAATGTTATAAAAGTGCCTGGCATATTCAGCATAATTACCACAGTATTTTCCTTCCTTTCTTTGTTCTGCATTGCTCTCAGCACATTTTAGAGTTCATACAGAACACGAATAGTGTGCTGGGCAACCTGAAAAATTTATAATAGGAAGAGGTATCCTCTCCGAATTCTTCTCCATTTGAAGGTTCACTCCATAACAATAAAGAAATCTGCCTCACTGAAACCAGGCTTCCCTATACTGATAAGGTCCAAAAGAAGAGTAACTCCTCTGTCTCCTGAATAAAAGAGGAACAGCAGATACTGATAGAGCTCCATTCTTTTTCCTCCCTATTTCTCTCTCCTCTCCTCCAAACATCTTTTTCTTTCATTTCATTCTCTTTATCACCCCATCTTGAGCTGCCCTGTGTCTCTTCCCCTTTCTAACTCCAGGCATTCTTAGTTGGCAATGGTTCCATCCTCTTTCTGTCCATGAAAGAGCACACATCTGTACAGAGGCAGATTGCAAACTAGGTCAGTTTATATGGCAGAGATAAAAAGAGCAGGAATAAGAGCCTTTTTGTATAATAACAAGGTCTCACTTAAGCACTAGGTCCGGTTGTCAGAGATGTTGAGCATCTGCTGTTGCCACTGACTTCAGTGGCACTAGTCCTCATGTCCACAGGCTGCAGATATAGAAAAATATCCTCAGTTTTGCAGTCCCCTGCAAGCAGAAGTTCAGATACACAGTCACAGTTCCTTGACATCCTCCAAGATTCCATATTGATCTCAGGATCTGCTTTTGTCAATTTTTCCAACATGTTCAGCACAGTCTTGGGAGGTAAATTGGTCAGTCATTGGAGGAGGAATGAGGTGATACTGGGTATAAGACCTTTTCAGTTCACAAGCACATAAAACAGGCCTGAAATAGAATGACAAGTGAGGAACTGTCATGTCATGTGAGTGTTAAAAATAACTATCTTTCTTGACAAATATTTGGTTAATGCAGCTATCTTTATATTCTTCCTCCTTTCAGAGTTTTTAGGACAATACCAACTGATCTTGCAATTCGTTATTTAGGTAAAGATATTTTAACATTACAGTGAAAATAAGGGAAAACTGCACTCTGGCAAAGATTAATTGCTCCTTCCCCCTACCTGCAGCTTTCTGTAATGCTGCAAAAAAATTACAGAGCATTAACAAACTACATCATTTGTGATATTGCTTTACCTAATGGAAGAAAATCTGTGGTGCAATCACATGCATCAGTCCAATCTTGTATGAGTCCAGATAGCAGGAAAGGGGCAGAAGGTAACTGTTGGAACAACAAGATAGAGGAAGAGGATCTCTAAAATTCCCCGTTTGACAATGTAACATCATTGGTTTCCACAGTTTTCTCCACAGTCCACTACTGCCAGTCTCCAAAACACGGGGCCTTTAGAAAGCATACTTGACAATGCTTATTTTAATTATGATTCTGATGCCTGGAGGGGACCTTTCTGCATGGTTCTGAAGGTTTTCACAAGCAAAAATCACTAATTTATTTCCCGTCCTCCCATCCAATAACTGCCTTATTCTGTTTCTAGCAACTGAAGTTCCTAAAAACCAAATAAAGGGTGGTCAGAGCTATGAAACATACAAAAAGGATGCAACCCCTATGCTCCTTTTCCTCTTTCCTCCACATCCCCATATCGCCATTTGGATGGCATGCTTATTTGCGGGATTACAGACTCTTATGCCAGCAGGGCAGGATGGCTGGCAGGATCAGAAATGCATGTCCATGCACAGGTGCAGCTTTCCTTTGCTCCCTGCCTGCTGTCTCCAAATAGGCTGAATGAGGATGTACTGTGATTCTAGCACCTTATCCTAGAAGGAGAGAGGCTAGGAGTCTTGTCTTCGGGCAGAAAATTGCATTGCAGACATTCCTGGGGACATTCCTAGATAGGGTAGCTGAAAATCCCCTGTTCAGAGCTGATCTCTCTTCCTCTTTCCTGTGCCCCATGCTAGTGGCAAGTAAAAAAAAAAAGTTCATAAGAAAGCACATCTTCTGTCCAGAGAATTTACAGCAAAGTCTGAGAAAGAGAAAACAGACGGCTGCCAGCAGGGAGAATGGCAGACAGTTCCCTGGCCAAAGACCTTGGTGGGGTTTTTTTCTGTACCATCTCTTGCATGTTTTTCGACACATATATTTGCAAAGAGGGTTGTGGCCACGTGTAGTTGATTATTAGGACAGCTTCTTACTTACATTAATAGCACCAGCTTACATGTCTGTACTTACATGTGTATGGCTCAGTTTCCTCATACCATTAGCTTTTGTTATAAACTATTTTCATTACCACACAGTGTTCAGCGAGCAGCCATGCCTCTGTGTGAGCATCTTCATCCTTGAGTTCTCAACAGAGAATTCAGCAGCTGAATTATCAACAGCAGCATGTAACCTCCCATTTAAAACACTGGCAACTGAAGAGTGGAGGGTGGAAAATGTGACACTAAACCTCAACAGAGACTGAAGAGCTAGAGGTTTGCAAACCTCATACCTGTACTGTACAAATACAGAGATGCTAATTGGGCTGGAACTAAAGGATACTTACTGCAATCTATCTGAGAAGAGTCAACATTGCTGCTGTAAAGTCCTGCCTTAAACAAACCTTTTGGAGGTCTCTGGAAAGGTAAACAAAAACGTGGATAAGGGTGATCTAATTTCCATATCAGACTGGGTGTCTAAAAGGTTCTTGACAAAGGCTTTTAAGGAGACTAAGCAGAGAAAACAACAAGAGGGGAAGCCCTGGTATAGCTCAGAAATTGCTTAGAAGATAAAATTCAAAGTACAGGAATAAATCACCAGTTCTCACAATGAAGGGAGGTGCTGGATGGTGTAGAGTTCTGCAAGTCAGTGTTGCAATGTGTGCTGTTCAATGCACTCATGCCTTACCTGGGAATGGAATCAAATAATAAAGTTCAACAAAATGAATTTATTTGGCAGTAATAAGAAGAAAGATTGTGAAGAATTATACCTGGACATTATGAGACTGAATATTCAATATCAGAAATCCAGTATAGGTGAATGTAAAATAACACACATGGACAAATAATCATTAAAAATGGTGGGCTCTGAGCTGGCATGAGTAAAGTCTCAGGGTTATGACAGGACATAGAAACATCACCTCCTGTGCTCAAAAGATCCTCATGAAGTATTGTCAAGGAAAAACACCATTGGGCCACTGTATGAATCCATGGTGTGTATTTCTTCAACTCAAATTTAGATCTGTTAGATGAGGGTCATGCTCAGGAGTGCATCAAGGACAGTAAGAGGTACAGAATAGTCTGTGGACAAAGGTCCCCATGAGAGCAACCTAGAGCTCTTCAGCCAGGAAATGTAATGATGTACAGAGATTACTGTGGAGATCTACAAAGCCATGAGCAGGTCTAAGAGAGGGTTAATTGTTCCCATCTCCAGCTTAAAGAAAGGGTTTGTTGTTCCTCATCTCCAGCACAGGAGCTGAGGGGATAATTAAGCCTGTATCGCAACAAAAAAATAAAAGGCAGAGCTTCTTCACAGGAAGAATAGCAGATCAATGGGAATCCTTGCAAGCGTATTTGGGTTCCAGGCAACATTGAAGAAGTCCGGGATAGCAGTACTACCTATGGAAAAAAAAAAAAAAAAAAAAAAAAAAAGGGATGAAAGAAAAAAAGCCAAACCACACCAATGAAGAAAATCACACCAAAACCAAACAAAAAGAAAAGAACCCGAAACCCGCGGCTTGGAAACCCCCGGAGCTGGCGGCGGAGTGAAGCTCCCGCCCTGCGCACTCCCCGGAGGCGAGCCGCGGGGCCGCGTTCCTTTCCTTCTCGACGGGGCTCGGCCCCCCCGGTCCCGGCTCCCTCCCCTCCCGCCCGCCGCGGGCATCGTAACAGGAGAGGCTCGCAGGCGGAGGGTAACCCGAGCGCGGCAGGGCGGGGGCCGCGGGGGCGGCCGCGGAGCCTCCACACGGAGCGCTTCGCCCCGCGGGACGGGACAGGACGGGACGGGACGGGACGGGACGGAACGGGACGGGGCGGGGCGGGACAAGGTGGGCGGCGGCTTTGCCCCCCTCTTTGGCGTCGGCGAAGGGGGCGGGCGAGGAGGGAAGTGGGGAGGAGGAAGAGGAGGAGGAAGAGGAGGAGGAAGGGGGACCCGACGTGCCGGCGTTGCGCGCGGAGCTGGCAGCGCACGCTGCGAGCCGGAGGAGCGGGAGCGGTTTGGATAAGGTACCTCCGAGCGCCAGGATGCGCGCGTCCGCGCGGCGTCTGTCTGCCTGCCTGCCCGTCTGTCTGTCTGCCTGCCTCTGCCTGTCTGTCTGTCTGTCTGTGTGTGAGCGCGGCTGCCGGCGCGGAGGGAAGGGAGGCGGCGGTGGCTGCGGCTGCGGCGAGCTGGCGCTCGGCTGGTTGCGGGCGGGAGAGGGGGGTAGGCAGGGCGGGCCGGGGAGGTGAGGGGATGTCGGTAGAGGTGCCAGGAGGGGCAGGGGAAAAAGCGAGGAGGGAAGATGGAATCGCGAGGAGGGAGAGGGGAGAAGAGGAAAGGAGAACGCAGATGCGCGGAGGGGAAGGGAAGAGGCCAGGAGGAAAGAGGGCATGCCGGAGGGGTCGGCTCTGCCCTTGGCATCGCAGCCCTGCGCGGTGTGCCCGCCAGCCCCGCGGGATCCCCGGCGTGCGCGGCCCGGGCGGGGGAGGCGCGGAGCTGGCGGCCGGAGCGGGGGGCGGCGGGCAGAAAGCCGGGTGTGTGCGCTCATCCCCCCGTGCGCGCAGGGCCGGGGGCGGCTCTGCCGGCCGGGAATGCGGCCGCTGTGCGCGGGAGACGGGCAGGCTGTGGGCACGGAGGGGGCGTGTGAAGGGGGTTCAGCCAGATCCTGAGAAACCTGTGACGTAATGATTTTTTAATCAGCATGTGTTTTTCATGGCGATCTCAAATTTTCCTGGACTCCCCTTTTTGAACAGAAAATGCCCTGTATCTTTGTTCCAAGTATTGCTATTTTTAGAATCCTCTGTAACAGCAAAGCGAGTTCATGAGTTTTAAATATTTTAATTCTTTTTTATTTGGCCTTTGCTGAGGACCACTGCAGTGTAAACTTCCGAAACACTAGTGTCTCTTTCAAAAAAGTTATTGAAATTATTACTGAGGTGAGCCGGCCGGCAGCTATTGTGGGTATACCAGTGTTTGAGTTCCTGATGACATTAATCATTAGCCTTAAAGAGCAGTCATCATACTGAAGTTAGGTTTTTATCTTAAGATGAATTGCCTGTCAGGTCCCAGAAGATGTACATTAGGTGCAAGTATCACTGTTAGAAGAGATAGAGCATATCCCCCCCAGTTGTGATTTGACCAATGAAATAAACTTGTTGTTTTATTATGAGTGGTGATTAACAGTTCAACGTTGTAATGATATTCTCTGATTCTAGCATTGTCTCATAGCTCTGGTATGTCAATTTGTATTCATGCTGTGTAAGTGTTTTGCAGAGGTTTTGCCTATCTGGCAGGGATTTATTTCAATTTCAAAATTACATTTTCTGATCTCAGCAGCCTCAGGAACCCAAAGAAGTTCTGTTACAGTGTGTGACTTTTTTTTTTCCTAAGAAATGCAACTTTTTTCATGTCTTTAGATCACAGTTTTTATGTCTCTGCCCACAGCAGAAGTTACAGCTGTAAGTGTGTTCATTGCAAGCATTTCTGATCACTCAGTATTGAGTGTTTTTTATCAATTTATCTTCATTTTATATTTGAATGCCAGTCCATTTGCTGCTCTGCTGTAGCGTCTGCCAAAGTAAGTGTTCAGAAATTTAAAATGTTACATACAGATATTGGCTTTTGAGAACTGATACCTTGTTTTTGTATTAGTTTTCCTGCTGTCCAAAGAGTACAAGTCCCAGGTGAGCTCTTAAGTAAATTAAGCCATATTTATAGATATTTTGTAATAGTGCCAGTAAAATTAGGTCTTGTGGCAACTGATGGTTATTTCCCTTCACTGTGGATGCTCAACTTCTGTACGAAGGGGTGTGTGCAGTCCTTTTAAATTACACCAAACTCCTGTTGACTTCAGCCAGAGTTTTGGCTAAGTTAAGAACACAGGATCATATGAATTACAGCGTGAAAAATACAGCCAGCAGAATCCTGAGCAGTTTGATGTATACTTTGGTCATAAGATAATTTGATTAATGCCTGGTTTGTCTTGTCTAAACTGCAAAATTCACTTTTGCTACTGGAAACACCTGCTGATTTAGCAACTGCTATTGATACTCCATTTATAGCAAGACAAGAAGAGCTGCATAAAGCAACATCTAGAACTGTCCCTATTGTTACTGTTCACAGTGTGATTTTTCTCTCGTTGATGTGCTGCTGTTCCGATTCTCAGGCAGTTCTGACTTCAGCTGATGGGCAGTACATTTATGGTTGTGGGATAAAGAGGGTTGTTCAAGCTGCCAAAATAGTCTCTCTTCCTCCTACCCCCCTATAAAAAATAAAAAGCTGTGGCAGCTGTCTCTTTGAGTAGGCTGTGCTGAAGGGGCAGATCTTTGTTCTCATGTGGGCCCTGTTTCTTGGATGGCTAGAGTTCAATCTGAATTCTGTGTTATTTTGATACAATTGTCATTGCCTATTTCCCATTTTTAGGGGGAATTTTTTTTTTGCTTTTGTTTAAATGCCAAAACTTAAGGAGAGTTCCCTAGGAAATTCAGCACAGATAATTCATTAAGGAAAAGTCTTTTCCAATACTCCCACTTACTAGGACCAAGTCCATTGAAGTTGATGTGGATAGGCTTGGCATTCAAATTATGGTGGAGAAAAAAAGTTGGCCTGTTAATTCATGATGATGCTGGCTTACTTTAATATTACATTGGTCCTTTACAGGGATGTTCTTTAATTGATTGCTGACCTAGACCACTAGAGTGCAGTTCTATAAAATTGGGTTTCATTTTGAAATATAGCAGCAGCACTGAATGAATGCCAGCAGATGCAATTATATCTATAATTTACGTTGTTTTCTTTGAGCCATATGTCAAAGTGGTGCTCTTTTTCTTCTACATCTCCAAAATTTTAAGTCTTATTTGCTTAACTAACTGTAAGACTTTGGCATGCATTACTGTGGTAAATTAGCAAAGTCCATAATCTGTGAACTCTCCTATCTGGGATTCTTCTGCTGCTAAGAATGTATTTCACAGTACAGCTTGGAGAATGATTCTGCTGGTTCATCTCCAGTGAGGAAGACAAACCTTGCAGTCTTCCTCTTGGGGTAAGTCAATTAGGGACAGTTTCCATCTCAGCCATCTGACAATGACGGTTGTCCAGTTGTAGTTGGTAACATTAATTATCCCATATTAGGCCAAATGGGAAAGATTTTTACAGAGTCAGATTGGGAATTTTGGGGGGGTTTGAAATACCTTATGGTAACCTGTCATCATAGTCATTGTAGTTAACTGCAGGAATCTAGATATTGATTAAGATGGCATCTCAAGACCCTCCCAGTATTTTCTGTCATAATTTAAGAGTCATGGTTATTCAGTACTGAAATGTGTACAAATCTTTAAAAATAGTTTTTTTACAATAACTTCAGGAGATCACATATGTATCTCACTTCATCCTGAAAAACAAGTGTGAATCATCAGTGCTGAAGTTTTTCACTTGTAAAATGGAATTCTTGTTTCTTGTCCTCTACACTGGACAATTTCAGGGCTTTTTTTCTCTCAAACACACTAAGCTGAAACTGTAATTTCAGCTGCTACTGCAGGCTTGTTTCCCAAGTAATAACATTCACAGTGCTTGACTTTTCTGGTACTATGACAGAATTAGCAAAAAAGAGGATACATTTTTTTCATATTAAAATTCTGGGTTATCAGCACAAATTGTTGTTCTTATTTTTGGTGGTGAATAACCTTCATTAATCCATTACAACTGTAAACCATGCCATTCTTAAGTTTTAAAATAGATAGTTTTATTTAAGTTTATAATTAATGAGAGTTCAAAGTTCACTTTTTTGTTTCTTTGATGATGGTAAGATACTGGATTTCCAGGAGAAAAGAGACCTGTATCCTCAGAATAATTTCTCAGAAATTTTATTGAAATACTCTATTGTAAGAAGACTCAAGTGTTGCATTGCTCAATGAGAGACTTACATGCAGTGTAGCATGAAAGTGAGAGTTTTCCCTAGGTGTTATACTGGCAGAGAATTATTTATTTAATACCTTATTAATAACAAAGAAAAACAATATTGTATTTAAAATAAATCAGATTTCCTCCAAAACATATCTACATCTATTAGAAAGGTTAGGAATATTGCTGTGAATGACATGCACAAGCTCTAGGGAAAACTTTGGTATGTGCTACTGAATCATGAAAGTGCATCCTGTTCCTTTTTGGAATTGTCTTCCATCTTTATCTAATTGACTAAAGAGATGAATCATGATCCAGGGGGAAAGAATGCTTCCAAAACTCTGGATTTTTTTCTCCAGAATCTGTTGGTTACAATGATTTCTTCTGGGGCTCTGGGCATCATAATTTTCCCGTTCTCCCGTGTTTCTGGATTTAAAAGGGGAAAGGAGCAGAAAACTGTGTATAAATCGCTAAATGCACTTCACCATATGTAACTCAAAAGGGAAGGGTTCTCTGTGTTTTACCAGTTTTATTCTACATGTTTTTGTGTTGCTAATTGCAAGATCTGTTAGTATAATTCCTGAATGAATCAGGAAAAGTTTTTAAGGTTGTAGTGGGTATAGTACTGGCAGGGCAGGGTGACTTTTATGCAGCTCATATATTCCCTTTCTAGCCACTAAATCTGACCACTCAACCAAATAGCGCAAAAAAAAAAATCTCCTGTCATAGTGATTTTCAAATACCTTTAAACTGGTGGCATATTAGGATTATACTCACTTAAACACACATACACACACACACATCCCCCAAAACAAACAAGCAAACAAAACCAACCAAGCAGATAAATAAATGACACCAAACCCACAAACTGCTTCAATCACTGAGTTACTAAGTAGGTGACTGTTGACTGTGCCTGGGTGCAAATGCGCCTGAGGACACATGCAGCTTCCTTCCTAACAGTTCTTCTCAGGGACTGATACTTGAAACCAGGGATATTATTTTTTAACCATTGAACTCAAGAATTCAAGTGGACATCTTATGCCTCATTGTCTGGGACAGTGACACCAGCGTTGTTGGAGTTGAGCTTAATAACATCCATTTTTTCCCCAGCACTCCAGGGAAAAATATGGCTCCATCTGTATACATGCTTGGAGTGCCCTATTTCTGTATTTCATAAATGTGGAGCAAGTTTAGTAGTGCCAGTTGAGAAGAATTCCCTAACAGAACTGCTAATATACAAACAAGATCCACCCATCTTTGAAAAAGTTTCATTTTTAAGAAGTTCTCTTCCCCCCCCCCTTTTTTTTTCCCCTACTTGCTCTTCTAGGGCAGGTTTCAGGAAGATGACAGACTAGAAAAAGGAATCAGATGAAATGATCACCTGTATTAGCATCCTGCACCAAACTCTACTGGCAAATCAATTAGATGTACATACATTAATAAAGCTTGCATAAGTAAAGAAGTAAAGATTGTTTTTGTTAAAGTTGGTGAATTGGTTTGTACAGATCTTTCGTCTCTCTAATTCTGTTCTATTAGGAGTATCACAGTACTCCTGTAGCCTTGTAAAGAAAACCATGTGAAACCAATTTCAAACCTTTAAATATTATTCTATCAGCTTTCCTCAGAAATAGGTCATTTATTTCTAATTTTAGAGTTCCCTATTAGCTGCTATCCTGCCCCAAGAGTGAGCGCAAGAAGAGGTTTTTGCTGGCAGTGCTCTTGAGAACCCACATGCTGGTGTAGGAACTACTATCAATAAACCCAGAGAGTAATTTAACCTGATTTTAAAACTAAGTATACGCAAAGTGAACAAACCATTGTAGTTTGAGCCATGGTTTGATATTCCAACTGTCCCTATGT